CGGAATGTGTCCTCAGCCTCGCTGGACTCATCTCTGCCACGCTAATTTTGACAACATTTCCTCTTTGTTTTGGTCTCCTTTAACCCAGTTTCCGTGAACGAGGGGACACATAAGTAACACAAACAACACAGTGTCCTTCGATGCTATATAGTTCCATTTTTAAGCAACGCAAATGAAAGTGATGTGATATATAGAATGCCAGTAGTTTATTTTCCTTGTTTTCTCTCGTTGTAATGTTGTAGCGAACTTTAAACGCTGTGACTGTTCGGATGCTTGTTGGTTTCTCTAATGAAAATTGAAGGGAAAACCCTCTTTTACTAAAAAAAATTGCATGGTGCGAAAATGAAAACCGCGTCTTCAAATAGGCCACTGACACTGAGCATCCATTAGTTTCCTGCCATGCACCGAGGCATGCCGACTACAGTAGAGCCGATGATGGTCTACCCACTCATCCCGTCCCATCCATGTCGAAAAATTCTTGTCTTTCCGCGTTGCCACGCACTAGTAGAAAACAGGACTTTGGTTGAGGCCCGGATAAAAGCATTAATCTCAGTTCACTCCCGAACCGGACCAAAGGGATTAACAGTCGGCCGTGCGTCGGGGGCCATAGACGAGCGGAATTGCTCCGGCCGGCCGATGCACTTTTCTGGTAAAAAAGATGAGGAAGTTCCCGTCACTCAAATCAATCCATCATTGCCGGTAAAACTCATCATCACATGCATGCATACGCAACGCCCATCATGTAGTTCATTCATGGGGCCGGTCGGACGTGTTGCAAGGTCGACACGCTCGGGTTCGGTCGGATTTGTTTAGATTAGATATCCAGCTGCACGTCGTCCGTCGAATCCACATATCCATCCATCCATCGGTCTGTCTGCCGTCGTTGACTACTACTCGCTTCCATTCTTGATTTATTTAACTCATCGTTTGGTACGCACGGTGACTACTGCAGTTGCAACACGGACGGCGGTAGGTAGTAGGCGAGCGCCGTGATATTTTTCAAAGGAAAAGAAAGGAAAGAGAGTAGGGCCGTTTGGAGGCCAATGGCAGGACACATCAAGGCAGGAGTGGCCATTAACGGCTCGACACACAGCTCGCGATTACCATCAGCCGTACAGCCACGAGTCCATGACAGCCTGATTAATTAGCTAGGTGCATGCATCATCAATTCATCATGCACATTAGCTGAGGCCAGTAGTAGCTAGCTAAGAGAGACGTAGGATGCGTACGTGCGTAATCGATGCAGAAGCCATGATGCCGAATCGCTGCAGTACGTACGTAAGGGAGAGAGACCGGCGCCTCGGCCGCGAGCGCATGCAACAGGGTAGTTTTTCTTTAAATGAATGTAACGGGGTACTGTAGTTGATCACACACAAAACATAACAGTTCCTCTGCCTGCCACTGTAATAGCCGTACGTGTTATCTTAGAGCAAGTACAATAGAGCTGAGTCAGCGGGATATAAGAAATAAACTAGTATGTTTCTGCTTAGTTGGAAGAAAGAGGAGAGGAAAAAGAAGGTCGTGAAGAGCCAGCTCTAGCACGTGCTCCTAGGCACTTTGTGAGAATAAAAGGTGGGTCACATAATAAAAGAATAGTATACTTTTTTAATCTACTATTATACATGTCGGCTATAAGATGAGCTGTAGATGACATGACATTGGCTTATAGCCAGCAGCTGGCTATACTATTAAACATGCTCTTAGGTGAACCATGTAATTCTCCTTTTGGGAATCGCGTCGGCAAAGGTGATGAGTGGGGAGACACAGGACTGGAGTCGCGTGCGAATTGACGGGCCACGAGTACCACACCTCCAAGTCCAAGCAAGCTAGTCTCCAACCGAACAACGTCGTCGTCGTCGTCGATCCTTTCTTTTTTGGCAATGCGAAAGCACTAGCTGGCACGGAAAAGACCTACGTACGACGAGCTTGCCGCGTAGGCCACCCACCGCGCTGGCGCCGTGCCGGCGAGGCAGTTCATTGCGCGTTCGCCACCGTGGCCGCGCCCGGCACGGATCGTACGCGCGTGCGTGCCGACGCTTGCGCGCTGGAGCTATGGGCGACTTGGGGCTATCGCGGGGCTCGCAGCACGGAGAAGATAGGCCGGCCTCGACGACGCGACGCGCCGGGGCGACGACTTATCCCTGGGGGCTGGGGAAACAACGTGCGCCCATCAGTGCATACGTGCACGTACGGATGGGAGGAAGTCGGAAAGGAGTGAAGCGTGCACTGCCCTGTTACACTGTTCGGTGCTCATATATGTGCACGCGGTGTGTACGTGCAACGGGTTAATCACCGCGCGCACAGCTAGCCTGGCTATTTGGAACACGTGATATATATAAAAAGCGCAGGAATATAAAAGTACAGGAGTACTATATCCTCCACCTGCACATCTGTTCAAAGCGTTGTGTCCTCGACAAGTTGTGCTAGCAGTTTTGTTAGGGACACCTCATTAATTGGTCAAATGTGGTTTCAAGAGGAATATATGCTGCTCACATCATCGCAAAAATTGAAATAAAAGTTTTTTCCTCCCTCCCTTCTCTCTCTCTCTCTCTCTCTCTCTCTCTCTCTCTTGCATCTCTCCCCCGACGGTGCTGAATAGGGAACCAACGAGGCACGGGCCGATGCGGTGGCGGGCGACGGAGGAGGCAACATCGATCGCGGAGAAGGTGCAACGGGCAGCATCGGGCGGTGGGGAGACGCGGCGGAGCGGCCATGGGCGAACGGGGAGCTGGGAAGGCCCGTGTGGAAAGTGGTGCTCGTCACTATAAGGATATGCAAACCGATCGTCAATTTACCATTTCATAGGTGCAGTCGAGAATGAAGTCTATGGTCGACGGATAAGCAAACAGAATGAAGCCCCGCCCATCTTCTCTATCCGGATAGAAATCTCATTTCACTATTGGAATCGACGGCTTTGTCGAGGGCCGAGAAGCTCGGTGAAGCCGGAAAAAAATCGGCAACGACTTAGTTGAGAATTGCTGTCGGCAAAAGGCATACAGAGTATACCCCTCATACAAACAAAACTTTGTCGTGAGCCTTCTATCGGGGACTCGACAAAGATATTGCCAAGAACCAAAGGGGGCCTCTCGGCAAAATAAAGTGACATGACAACTCGAACAGAGACGGCGGTTGCCATGTGGCACATCTTTGTCGAGACTTACGTACACAGGTCTCGACAAACGCGAACGAATAGGAGGCTACTACATCAACGTTTGTCTGACAGCGGGGCCAATGCCAAGTTCCTTATTTGGCCGAGACCTCCTTGCTCTTGGCCCCAACCTTACCCCGTCTTTCTGCCTTTCCTGAAGCTCTCACGTCCGACGGCGTCCGGTGCCTCCTTTGGCGGCGGCCGTAGCTCCCTTTCCCGCGGTGGCGGTTCCAACCGACGACTTGGCTTCATCTTCTTCGAATATTGAACCAACGTCTTGGGATTTCTCTGACTCTGGCCAGGCAAAATCCTTGCTCGACCTTTCGATGCTGGCAGTGGCGACACCCACAGGTGCCGTCCCATTCTTGGAGGCGTTGCCATAGCCGACATCTGTGCCCCTCTTCGAGCAACAAGGGAAACCCTAGGTCCGACTATCTGGATCGGGCGGCCACGACATCTTGGCATCGTTCTCCTTCGCGAAGGCGTTGTCTTGTTTGCTCGCGGTGTCCTCGGTAGTGGTTTTGGAGATTTTTCGTCATGTTAGTTTGGTTTGGCTTGCTTCACAAGACGGCGAGTTTTCACTGTGTTGTTTTCTCTTTCTAGGCCGAGCATCACACGTCTCTGCTCTGGACATCATGTTCACGCCTACTGCGTTCGTGTCGTGTGTTATATCACCACTTGTATTCACTCTTAACGTCTTCTATCAATGAAATGATACACAAGCTTTGCATATTCACGAAAAAAGGAAATAGCTAACAAAAAAAAGCACATGAGAGCATGCATATTTTCAAATTAACAGTAAATAAACTACAATTCCATCTGCAACTTTGGTCAATTAATTAGGTACCGCTAGCAGAGCTATAGTATAGCTTGAAATATCAAAGCCAACAGCCGTTGTTCTCCTGTGTCGACTTATGCTATCCATAATTTTCAAAGGCAATTATTTCTATCAATTTCTAGTCTCCATCCTGGCTTTTGGCTCCTGTAGGGGGAAAAGCAGGAGACAGATATGCAGAGCAGGGCCCGGGCCGAGCTGCAGAATCATCCGCATGCACACATTTCTTTACCAGAGAAGTCAAGAAAGCTATTCCTTTAATTGCTCCGGGCTTTCTTGCCTCCAATAGCTAACCTCGATGGATCTTCGGCTGGCAAAGTTCGCAATCTAGTACTGCTCCAACGAAAACTGAGCAATGCAACTTTTACTACCTTGTGGAACTTGATTTCCACCTATAATTTATGACAACGTCACGCATGAACATGAAATAAAAGAGAGAAACGGCTGGCACGCACACATCTTTTACTTTCTGCTGCTTAATTTCCTCTTAATTTATGATAACGTCAAGCATGAACATGAACGAAAAGAGATAATCGGCTGGCACAGACACATTGATCGACCGTTCCTGTTGCTGTCGGTTTGGGCCATAGTT